CTGTGCACCCTTGCAATCAAAAGTAGATAGATTGGCAACTTAGTCATTCAGGGGAGCAGTTGTTGATCTGCATGGAGAGAGAGCCCTCTGGTCCTTCAGGTGGGGAAGGGTTAACCTGGGGCAGGCAGAGCAAGATCCTGGCAGAGGGGACATGGGGACAAAGTCACCAAGATGAGAAAGTGTTTGCAGCAGGTGAAGAATGACAAGCAATTTGGCGTTGTTGGAGCATGACTGCTGGGGCCAAGCTGAGCCGTGCTAGAGAGCAAGCCAGGCTGAGCCTAGGCATTCTGCAAGGCCCCATGGAGTGTCAGTGACACTGAGCCAGATCAACCCGGTCCCGCCCCATCACCATGTGGGCTGGCAGGCAGTCACCAGGCAAACATGAGTATGAATCCCATGCAGACAGGTGGCCCCAGAGGCAGGAGAGGTGTCAAACTGAGCTTCCCAAGAAAGGGGGGCCAGTGTGAGGGACAGCATGGCAGAGAGGAGCGAGGTCAGTGGCTGATGAGACTGAGGAAGGCAGGTAGAGGGAAGGGATGGCCTGGCTAGCTCAAGAGCCCTCCGCTGTGCATGCATAGAGTCTGCAGGTGGGCCTGGAACCTTCTTTCTTGCCCGGGCATGCTGGAGAGAGCACAGGCAGCCTCCAGGCTCCACAGGTGGCAGTGGTTGTCTGTTATGATGAGTAGTGATGGCCCCCTGCTTGTTTGCTGTGAGAGGAAGGCTGTGGTCTATGTCTGCTGTTCCCTTAGTATCCTGTGCTTTCTCTACCTTCAAGGACTCTTGCTGGTCCCCAGGGTCCTCAGAGCTTGTTTGGTGGCATTTTCTGGGAGAGGAAGACAGACACATGTATCAACAGATTCCCTCCATAGGAGAAAGGGTTGCTTCCATGCTTAGGAAGAAGGAAATGGGCTCCAGGCAAGCTGGGAAGTAGCGCATGACAGGGCACCACCCTGTCTTTTCCTGAGAGGCACCCAGTGCCAGGCCCTGGGGGCTCATTGATCAGAGTAGGGTAGTCATTTGCTCTGCTGGTGGTGCGCCCGTCTTCTCTCATGAATAGACGCAAGAAGGGAGTAATCCACTAGTCCACATCTCAGCTCTGAGATTTGCCTCAGATTTGGGGTCTAGTACACCCTCCCTGGAGCCCACTTCCCTCATGTCTGGGAGATGGTCCTATACCAGATGCCTCACTGACAGTCTCCAAGTGTTACCTGGCTCAGAACAAATCAGACATTCAGTGGTGACCGGAATCAGACCCCAGGTACATCCAGCCGTCCCCCAGACCCAGTCTCCCTTTGGGTTCCAGACTTCATCTAGGGCTGAGGTCCCCAAGCTATTAAGTGGAGACTTGTCGGCAAGGGCTTCGAGGACAATGGGGTCACTGCTGGCCTTGTCCAAAGCAGGGAGAGAGACAGCCCAGCCTGTTCCACCCTCTACAGCCTTAGGATAGCTACCATGTGGAGGGCTGAAAATCCCCACCCTCCACCTCCCAACCCCCAACCCATCACTGATGCTTACAGGAACTTTTTCCCAGTGACAAAATTTAATCCTAAGTAAATTTTTTCCTTCTGATATTTTATCTGTAGAAAAGATGACAAATCCAGAAAAGTACACATTTTTTCAATTACCCAGCATTCCACCACCCAGGCGTAACAAATGAACATTTCTCTTCTTCTGTGATGGTCTGTGCAGCGAGTCTTTTAAATGGGATTACGCAGCTCTCAGCACATCTGCCTCATCCTGAAACGCGCCTGGTTTCCAGGCCAGCCAGGAGCTCTTGTGGCCCACCTCAGTGACTGCTTGACAGTACCTCAGCTCTGAGCATGCCTGCACGTGTGTCCTCCCGAGTCCATGTGTCAGGCCTGACCACAAGAGCTCCAGGGAGGCCATGGCCCTATGGCAGGCACACACGTGGTACTGTCCTCCCGCAGGGCGGCACCAGAGCAGGGCTAAGGCAGGTCTCTGTCCTTTATTATACCATCCACTGTCCAGCCCACCTCCAGCCACAGGCAGGGGTGGATGAGCAGGGTCCCAGCAGAGCATAAAGAGACTCTCAGCATTGCAGGCCTCACAGCCTACAGATCAGTCATGTAGCTCTCTGTACATCAACCAATGTCGCCTCCCGGCAGACAGGACCCACCTTCTTGCTCCTCTGACCAGAAAGCCATGTACACCAAGGGCAGGGTCTATCAGAAATGCAGCCCCAGGTCAGGACATGCACTTGACAGATCCACAGTCTCCCTACAGCATACCTAAGGCTAAGGTAGAGCATGCAGGCCTGTGGGTGGGAACAGAACCTCCAAAATAAACCCAACCAGTGACCAAGGAACCCTACCATAGTGGGACTGAGGGCCACCAAAGAGCTCAGAGCCTCTGGAGCTACCAGCAAGGGCTCTCAGATGCACAGCTGCTCCTCAACAATCTTCCCCTGTTGGCCTCAGCCAGGGGCTACAGCCCTACCCTGAGCCCCCATATGTTCCAAGCAGCTCTGTCCCCTTCACCCACAGGCTGCACACCCCCTGGGTGCCCTTGTGCTTCGAGCAGCCCCGAGTCCAGCAGGACTGCCTCGCTAGGTCCTCACCCTCACTCTGGGACAGGTAGGGCACCTGTCGTCTCCTCCTCTGCACCCTTGCTCCTTGGTGCCTCTTTGCCTGTTCCAGGACTTATGTCCCGTGTCTGCATCCTGGGACAGACTGACTCAGGGTCTCTTGGCTCACAATACATTGTCCCTATAGCCCAGCTCCATTCTGAACTCCTGTGAGTGGCAGAGAAGCCTTCTGGAAGGATAGAGGCCCTTTCAGGCCCCTCTTTGAGCCATGGGGTCAGCTCTCTAATGCCTACCTGGGCTTCCAGTGGAAGACAGGACTCAAGACAGCGCTCTGCAGCTGTGCCTCACTTGCCAGGGTCCTCAGCCTCACTGCTGGGGCGGGTGGGGCTCTGGCTGCTCAGTTCCTTGGCCCCCCTCCCCTGTGCAATGTTAAGGGACTGTTTCCATAGCTCCTCTTGACGCCTTGACAGACTGTAGCCTGTGGACTGAAATAACACCTCCCCACAGAAGAGAAGAAGCTGTTGCTGTGTCTGGGTGCCTGAATACACTGACCAGGCTGTTCACCTGTCTAGCTATCGCCTTACCCCTTAGGAGTTCAGGAGCCTACAGCTGACCCTACCAGCTCCCACACAGCCACACCTCCCACACCGTCCCATTGTGTCTGGTGGCTCTCATACCCAGCATAGGTGCAAGCGACAGCCATGTTCCTTGTATGTGGATATACTGTTCTGCTGTATGGGTGTGGAAACTGAGGCCCTGGGAGGAATCCAGTTAGTCTGTTGGAGGAAAGGACACTGGACAGAGATGTTGGCAACACCCAGGGTCCTCTCTCCAAAGCTTCTGACCCCAGGCTGTGACCAGGTGTGAGGGAGGGGCTGCCATGGCCCTCTCTTGGTTGTAGGGTTCAGGGGCAGGCTGGAAGCAATGGGACACGGACTGGCAGGTGGAGCCCACAAAGGTGGCTGGTGTGGGAATGAGTCTCAAACATGACCCAAGGTGCAGTGGGAGGCCAGGCCAGGCAAAGTCCTTCGGGTGGGACAGCACCAGACACAAGGGGGACACAAAGGGGAACACCCCCAGCAATGACTAGGAACTGAGCATGTGTGTCTGGGTGATGTAATCCCTGGAGCAAGCAGGCTGGGTGGAGATCCAGAAGCTTGGGCTCTGTTGACCAACAACTGTCCTGGAAAGGTAGGTGGCTGTGATGGCTGAGAGGAGCATGGGCAGAAAGGGTTGGCAGGCCAGCGAGTCGCCCTTTGTCTGGAAGACCGCCGGATGGCCCGGGTAAATGAAGGCTCTGTGGAGCAATGCGCCTTGGTGGGTCCCAGCCCTGCACTGAATGTGTCATGGAGCTTCCTGTCCTATTCCTAAGGTTCCCAAGGCAGGGCAGAGGGATACAGAAGCGAGTCTGACTTGGGCTTGCCAGTGTGGGCAGGGTCCAGGTGGCTGTAGGCATGTGGGGCCGGCTGCCTCACAGACCCTAGAGAGGGACAAGGCCGAATGCAAAGGCCTAGGGTGCTACAGGTACAGCTTCCCAGAACTCTGCCTGGAGGCTGGAGGGGGTGAGGAGTCACGCTGAGGAGGCCACTCCAGCAGATGGACAATACTCTCCCCTCTTCCCAAGGGCACAGGAGCCCCTGGCAAGGACCTCCCAATCTCAAGAGCTGTCGCCCACTGCAATTCTGCTTTGGACGAAGTGGGTACTCAAGGAAGCTCACCACCCGACGAGGGAAGAGGGGCCTGAGTAACAACTGCCTGCAGTGGGCTCGTGCAGCTGGAGGGCTGCCTGGAGGAGAGCAGTATAGAGACAGCTGGGAGGGGCAGCAGAACACCTGGCAGCTGGGCCTGCGTGGGCAGCGAGGCCTTGCCTTTGGGTTTCCCTTTCTACTTTGGATTCTCTTTTGGGGACTGAGTCTCAGGAGGACCCGCCCCCTTTCCTTAGGCCTGGGCAGGAATCCAGGGATTCTTAATGGAGGTGGCTGGTAGTGTGCCTGTGGCATGTGTGGCTTACTCAGAGCTGAGGGCTCTTCTGATGATGCCGGCCTGCCTTCCACACCCCACACTGGGTTTTAAGTCCGGGGGTCCCTAGAAAGTCCCACAGCACATCTGGACATAGTTGGGGCTTCCAGCACCTGCCAACCCCCGCCTCCAGGTTTCCAACATGGCACCTCAACTTCCCCCCCACCCTCTACCTACAGCAAGTCTACTACAACTTACACTCTTGGGTGTTGGGGCTCAGGTGGGATGGAGTGTGAACATCCAGGGGGCAACACAGGTTCCTGACCCTGAAGGGGCATGAGTGCTGGTGCAGTCACCACGGGGAGGGGGGTAACCTGTGTGCACACACTCAGAACTAGTGGGATGAGTGCAGAGCACATGCCCACAGCATGCCTGGCTGGTCAATGTGGCGTCAGTTTCTCCGTGCTCAGTGCCACAGCTGCCTGGTGTCTTGCAGCGCCCTGCAGGAGCAGAAGGGCGAGCTGCGCAAGCGGCTGTCCTACACCACGCATAAGCTGGAGAAGCTGGAGACGGAGTTTGGCTCCACTCGTCACTACCTGGAGATTGAGCTGCGGCGGGCTCAGGAGGAGCTGGACAAAGTCACGGAGAAGCTGCGCAAGTAAGGGCGGGGCTGCAATAGGAGGGGGAGAAGCTAGCTCATCGCAGTGTCAGCTCTGGGGACATTTGGCAAACGGAGAGCAGAGCAGCCTACCCAGGGCTTGAACCTGCGGCTCACTGACGATGCCATTGGCAGACTCTTTCAGTGCCCTCTTCCAGACATGGCTTCTCACCACCTCATACCTGTACCGCTCTGACATTGAACGAGCCAACAGCAGCATAGGAGGGGCCACTTCCAGACCCCACCCCACTGGCCACAAAAGCTCATAAGATGAACCCGGATGTAGAAGCTGCATCTTGAGTGGCTTGTGGGGGGGACTCAAGATGCATTGAGAGGAGGACCAGATTCTTAGGATATTTTCCTTCTGGCGTTTATTTTTCTAAACCCTATTGTGGGTATCCCCAGCTTAGAAATACAAACAGGATGCAGGCTGCTGCTGTTGGCTGAGTTTAAGTCCTTAGAGAAGCAGCTGGCATTGTCGCGAGGGCAGCTTGTCCCTCTTCGAATGACCCCATTCTTCTGAGCTTTTGAACATCACTACCAAGCCATGTGGAAGCCAAACTTGGGCAGTGCAGCCAGACCTTGGTTAAAGTCCCAGCTCTGCCACTTAACTGCATTAAGCATCTTTTTGTGTCCCTTTCCCATTGGCAAGACAGCAATGGTACCGCAAAGGTTGTCTAGAGGACACGCGGCCACCACGTCCAGTCCCCCAGCCACCAGCAATAGAAGCCCAAAGCACTCCATCTCTGCCTGCTTGGCTACGGCACTCATCGCAGGGCCACACACGCGTCTCCTGGTGTGCAGTTGACCTGTAAGCTGCCCTGCCAGCGTCTAGGACCTGAGCACAGCTCTGACAGGCTCTCGTGCACATAGGCCTCCCTGTGTTCCTTCCAAGGAGCCCCACTGTGTCGGGGAAGAACAGTGTGGCTTTGGCCATGGCCTAGGAGAAACCCTGACAAAAGTTAGCTTTAATCGGATCTTCAGGGACAAGCTTGGGTGAGCTGACAGCCATGTTAAGCAGGATGTGATGGCCGTGAGGTTACTGGGGTTGTAGAAGATCAGCCTTTGCCAGTCATGACCCTGTTGCCTCCCGCTGCAGGATTCAGAGCAACTACATGGCACTGCAGCGGATCAACCAAGAGCTGGAGGATAAGCTGTACCGGATGGTGAGGCCCCAACGCACACTGTCCCCTCACTCAGTATCCCTTTGTGGGAGGTGCTGTCAGGATAAAACTGAGTTGGGGTCTAGGGAAGCCAAGCCTGTGCAGGCAGCACAGAGAATGGCCACGGGGTTCTGGCACCTTCCCAACACTTGTTCTTGTTCAGTGAAAGGTGTTCAGTTCCTGCCTGTCTCCAAGCCGAGATCTAAAGGAGGAGGACAGGTAGGGGCTGGGTCATGCTAGGCTTCACTCTCCCAGCTCATTGAGTGAGAAGGGCAAAGCAAGCCATACTCCCACCCCAAGAGCAGGGCATTAGGAACAAGTAATTGAGGCTCAGGGAAGGGCTGGCCTAGGCTAATCCAGCTCAACATTAGTGGGATGGGGTTAAGCCTGGCTGAGTCTGTTGTCTTAACTCCCACACCATCGTTAGCGTTTCAAACTCCTTTCATCAACAGCTGTTGGGCTCACAAAAGCCTTGGCCCAACAGCTGGGCTTTAGCACTAACCACTGACCCCTCATCCCTCTGTCCCCATGACCCAGGGCCAGCACTATGAGGAAGAGAAGCGTGCGATGAACCATGAGATTGTCGCCCTCAACAGCCACCTGCTGGAGGCCAAGGTGACCATTGACAAGCTGTCAGAGGACAACGTAAGTGCCATGTGCATTTGTCCCCTGGGAGAATGGGGCAGTGAGGGCTTGGAGAAGTGCCCGGGGCACCTGAGAAAGGATAGACTCCCTTGATGGAGAGACTGAAGATGGGATACAGAGAGGCCGTCCGTCCCATCCGCACAGACTTTTGACTTCAGCCAGGGCTAGTATCACACCACAGCTGTGTGGTTATCCAAAGGGGCCCCATGAGCTAGCCAGCTGCCTCCCACTGTCCCCCGTGGACTGACCGTGGGCACAGTAATTAGCCTCTGCTCCTCTGCCACAAGATCGAATGGAGTTCTGAGGTGATGATCTGACCAGTGGCTGCCCTTGTGGATTTTAAGTTCATATAGGGAAAGTAGACAGAAAATTGGGCAGTCAACAGCTTGAATAGCCTGTTAGAAGGGTTACAGCTAAGTGTGATGGTGGCAGTTTCTTTTAGTTCTACTACATCGTGTCACTTAGGAAGGATTTGAAGACTAAGCACTCAGTGGCCAGGTAGCCTGGGCCCTTTCCCAGAGTACGGCAGGGAGATCCTACGCACACACAGCTCAAACAAGGAGCCTAGCTGTAATGTGTAAGGTCACCTATTTCTCCAAGAGGTGTCCCCTACTCACTGTGGCTGACCTGGGCTGGTTGGGCAATGCCCACAGCTTTCTGGTTCCCATGACAACTGCTGTGGGGGGTCTCCTGGGGGATGACTTTCAACTCTGTTCCTAGGAAGTTCAGGGGGGAGTTGAGAGGGACTGTGAGACCCATTTCCCTCCCCTGTGAAGATCTGGTGTAGAGGTGGGATGGGAGAGGGTTGCCCAGGACACTGGTCCTGGTTGAACAAGGCTGTGGCAGTAGTCCTGGATCTCCTGGGCAATGCAGGTGGGTCCTAGGGCGGCTGTGATTTCTGAAGAGCAGGAAGGAACAGCCCAACACAGGCACATGCAACAGAGATTTATTTCCAAAGGTGAAATTCCTACTGTTTGCATCTGTTTTCAGCTCAGGAGTCTGAGCAGGGTCCCTCCTGCACCTGGGGTCACACACGTACGCTAACACTGGCCCAGACTGGGCAATCAGCCCCAAGGCCTGGCAATACTGTGAAGTGGGAGACCAGCATGTGGTTCATCCCTGTCCCTGACTTGTGCCCAGCGCTCCCACAAAGTCATCTTTGGAGGGATTCCAGGAGTTAGAGGAACAGGAAACCCAACCTCTGGGAGCTCAGAACTAGTGGAGCCACCTGTTGCTGCCCCAGCCTGTGGAGGGCCCATGCTGACAGGGAATCCTTCACACGCCGGCAACTCCAGCAAGAATGTGGGACCTGGACAGGGACTAGCCAGAACTAACCGCCCTGCCAGCTCTGCTCTCCCCTCCCATCGCCCTGCTGGCACGGGGCACTGACCAGGGCGGTTGGGCCAAACACCTTCTCTTGTCTTCCAGGAGCTCTATAGGAAGGACTGCAATCTAGCGGCCCAGCTGCTGCAGTGCAGCCAGACCTACGGCAGGGTCCATAAGGTGTCCGAGGTAACGTGGCCCCGCCCCACAGCCAGGCCCGCCCCGTCCCAGGACCACCCGGCTCCTTTTGGGCCACCCCACCCCGAAGCCTCTCCCCACCCTCCAAGAAGAAGCTGCCGGGTGAGCCTGAACCCTCGTCCCTCGTGCACCTGGGTCCTGGCTTCCTGATGGTGAAAGGTGCCCCCCACACTGCACTTCCCAGGGCCACCCTAAACCACTTGGGCTACACACCTGTTTCCTTTGGGGGCTGCACAATTAGAGACAGGCCCATACCAGAGATAAAAAAAAAAAAAACCCAACAGGCATCAAGGAAAGGGCACACATTGAAGGCACACAGAGTGATCTGGCAGCAGAGCCCAAGTTAGTCCTCGGTTGCCTGGTACCAACCATCCTGGCCAGCCTATCCCTCCCAGCCCACATGCACAAGAAATCTCCTACCCAGGCTCCTGCCCATGTCCCCTTTCCCCAGGCATGGCCAAACCTGCAACACTCACAAAATAAATCAAACAGTAGCCCCCCCCACACACACACACATATCCATACACCTCCCACCAGGCACCCCATGGAAACCTTTGGTGCCTGGCACTGGCCCCTCCAATCTTTGTTGCATCTGTGTTCTGAGTCTGTCTCATTCAGCAGTCCACGGGATGGGGCGGCAGGGGAGAGACAGGACACGACACAGACACTGTGGGCCAGCAAGAACAAGTCACACCTCACGAGGCAGGACCCAGAAAGGGTGCCAGATAGTAGCCTAGCCAACTCTGCTCGGCCCATTGGAGTAGGGTGGGTGGGTAGAGGTGATGGGGAACCTCAGGTGCTGAGGACATCCTTGTCCTTGGGGATTAAGCTGGCTCCCACTGATGTGATGTGAGACACCTGGGGGTGAGGGACTGTCTGCTGTCTGTCTGTGTCTCTGTCTGTCGGTGATGCTGGTGTGGCCCTGGCCTCGAGCCAGGGCTGAGCTGTTTTGCTATGACCTTTTTCCATTCTCCTCTCCTCCATGCCCGTTCCAGCTGCCCTCGGACTTCCAGCAGCGTGTGAGCCTGCACATGGAGAAGCATGACTGCAGCCTGCCTTCCTCACTCTGCCATTCGGCCTACGCTGACAGCGTGCCCACCTGCGTCATCGCCAAGGTGCTGGAGAAGCCAGACCCTGGTAGTCTGTCCTCGCACCTGTCTGAAGCCTCTGCTCGCGACCTGGGCTACCGCGACGGAATGGAGAAGTCTGGCTCACGACCCCAGTACAAGGAAGACATCTACTGCAGCGACACAGCTCTCTACTGCCCTGATGAGCATGAGCGCCAGCGCCAGCGTGACCGGCGTCCCAGCGTCGACACGTCCGTGACCGACGTGGGCTTCCTGCGTGCGCAAAATTCCACCGACAGCGCCGCAGAGGAGGAGGAAGCTGAGGCTGCGGCCTTTCCCGAGGCCTACCGCCACGATGCCTTCCCGGGCTACGCGGCCTCGCTGCCCACCTCCAGCTCCTACTCCAGCTTCAGTGCCACGTCCGAGGAGAAGGAGCACGCGCAGGCCAGCACGCTGACCGCCTCGCAGCAGGCCATCTACCTGAATAGCCGCGACGAGCTCTTCAACCGCAAGCCGCCCTCTGCCACCTATGGGAGCAGCTCTCGCTTCGGCAAGGCCGCGGCCACCCTGGCCTCCCCACTCGAGGCCCAGGTAGCCCCAGGCTTTGCTCGGACAGTGTCTCCGTACCAGGCCGAGTCCTACCACCGCTATTCGCCCTCCGCAGATAGCCGGCAGACTGCTATGCCTCCAAACCTGTGGAACCTGAGGGCCAAGCCAACCGGTAATCGTTTTGCCGGAGGAGACATTCGAGGCCATTGGCGCCCCCTGAGCGTGGAGGATGTCGGCGCCTACAACTACCAGGCTGGCAACGCAGGCCGCGCTGCGCCCTGCAACTTCGGAGAACGTTTCTATGGCGCTGGCCGTGGCCACGGCCGCCGCGGCCCTGGTAGGAGCCACAGCAACCATGCTGAGGGCCGTGCCAGCCCCCTCTATGCCTCCTACAAGGCTGATAGTTTCTCGGAGGGCGATGACCTCTCCCAGGGTCATCTGGCAGAGCCCTGCTTCCTCCGTGCAGGTGGCGATCTGAGCCTGAGCCCTAGCCGTTCAGTTGACGCTGGCTATGCAGCCAGTGAGGGGGATGGGGATAGGCTCGGGGTGCAGCTGTGTGGGGCTGTCAGCAGCCCCGAGCCCGAGCATGGTTCCCGGGATTCCTTGGAGCCAAGCTCCATGGAAGCCTCTCCTGAAATGCACGCTGGCAGTCGTCTCAGCCCCCAGAGGGCCTACCCCAGGACTGGAGGTTCTGGGCTTAGTCGTAAGGACAGTCTCACTAAGGCCCAGCTCTATGGAACCCTGCTCAACTGACTGCCACCAGTAAACTGCAGTCAGGGGCCCCCACCAAACCTGCCCCATATAGAGAGTAGTCAGCCCCCACGTGACCAAACCCAACCGAGGAACTCTAGTTCCTCTGACCCTCTTACCAACAACCCAGTAAAACCCAAGAAGACAACCCTCTCTGCCACCGTGGTGTTTACCCCTAGCCTCTGCTACAAACTCCACCGAGAACATTTACTCAGTGCGCCCTGCCCTGAAGTGAGCATCCCCCGTTTTGTAAGTGAAGCTATTTTTATAGGGAAAAGGATGTTTCTTCGTGTGCTTGCCTCCAGCTCCTTCATTTCCAGTGAGGGTGTGTGGGGCCTGCCCCAGGGAAGGGGAGGCTGGGGCCCTAGGGAGACCAGTCTCCACATGTGGGGAGAAGTTAGCAAGCCAGCAACAAGGGAATGCTGATATTCTGTCCACTAAGGAGGGGAAACAGCCACTTAGGGCGCAGAAATCATCTTAAGCACCCATCTCACAGTGCAACCAACACTCTGCCCTGATCTACCCTGAGCTCATCCCATGGCCTGGCCTGTAGGCCCAAGAGAGGCCAGAGATACCCCTAGAATAGCCGGTGCTTGGTCCTCCCCTTCCCCTCCCAATACCACCCGACTCTACCTCCGACATGAGGTTTCTCCCACCCCACCCCCGCCCAGTGAACCTGTAGTGTGTGATGCATGCCGTCTACTAGTGCTGTAGTTTGAACTCCTCAATAAAGCACAGCAGTGAAAAGAATTCAGCTTCATGGTTTTTTTTTTTCTCCTGGCGTCGACCAGTTAACCAGAAGCAGGGATCTGGTGTCCCTCGCCTGTTCCCCACCTTGCAGCCAGCCCTCCCTGGCTCAGTATCCAAGCCTGCCCTGTCCACTGGCCAGCTCAGTATTTCAGCATCCTCTGGTGTTATCCCTGGCACTCTCAGCTCCTTCCTGCTCCCCCGGGTGGCCCCCCTTTGAGGAAGCCTCTCAAGGGTTGCCGTGGCTCTCCTGGAGGCAAGGTCCACTCTTCTGTTCTGAAATGTCTTGACAGTCGCTCTGATGTTAGCCATCTCTGCTTCCCTCAGCTCCTGGCTTCTTGGGAAAATGTGGAGCTCCTGTTTTGGTTATGTCTCGCTCTCTCTAGCTGGACACAGCCTTCTCTTTGACTTGGCTGTGTTTTTCCTAGGGTGTGACTGTGTGGGGTTCCTCCTTAGAACTCTCAGGGTTCATCAGTTCTGGAAAACCCCAGATCATTCTTTAAAAAAAAACCTGCCCATCCCTCCCTCTCCAACTCTGTCCTCTGGTCACACTGTGTGTATCCCTCCTTTGACTCACCCTGCAGGGGTCTGCACAGTTTACCTTGTAGCTCATGCACTCCTGTGTCCATTCAACTGCCAGGGGCGCTGCATTCCCATTCCAGCTGCCAATCACTGCCATGTCCAGGTACCGTTCGGTTGGTATGGAGGCTCTGTGCTCTCATCCAGTTTCCTGTTCCCCAGAGTCCCTTTCAAGCTCACCCCTATTTCTGTAAAGCCAGTGGCCATTCCAAAGTCGGGGTCTGGCACTTCTACTACATAGACTCTCTGGGTCTGTCTTTGCTTCCTGTCCATGTTGCCCTGTTTCTTTGTGTGCCTGGTTATTTGACACATATTCATTCATCCCTTAGAAATGCATTGTGGGGTTTTCTACAAAGCCTAGGATGCTGACTCCTTTTCGAAGAAGAGATGGGCTTTTCATCTGCTTCCTGTCGACACTCAGGCCTTTCCTGTTGAGAGCTATTTCATCCCACCCATCCCCTGCAGTTCCCAGGTGCCTCCCTGACAGTCACAGCCCTGGAACTAGTAGTTCTAGATCCTCTGTGCCTATACCATAGAGAACAGTTGCTCCTGGCAGTACTCATACACCCAGGTTGCCAGGTGAGTCCCGACAGGGGCCCCCTCATTCACAGGCCATCCTCTCTGGAGTCCACTCAGGCCTGCCTAGTCTTCAGGTGAGTCCCGATAGGGGCCCCCTCATTCACAGGCCATCCTCTCTGGAGTCCACTCAGACCTGCCTAGTCTTCAGGTGAGTCCCGATAGGGGCCCCCTCATTCACAGGCCATCCTCTCTGGAGTCCACTCAGACCTGCCTAGTCTTCAGTGATGCCCATCTGTGTGCTCAACCCCTGCAAACTTTCCATGCCCCACCTCCTTGAACCCCAAGGGCAGTCAGTATGTGACTATGCTCCCACTGGTTGGCTGTCACCAGAGGTAGGCCTCACTTCCCCCTTCTGCAGCCTGAGGACACTGGTCCTTTCCGGGGGGCCTTCGAGACAGTTGGCACACTCTGTATGGAGTCCAGCTGGTTTGGGAGAATAGAGAGAACCATTTGGGGAGGCAGTAAAATGAGTCAAGGGTACAGGCTTCAGGGACGGGTGGTTCCAGCATGTCTTTGTGCCCTTGGAACAGAGGCTTCCTCAGCAGGAGACCAGGGGTCATGGCCATGCTGTGGGGGGCTGCATGCTAGTGACGCTCAGATGACAGCAACAACCTGACTCGGTGGACAAGCCAGCAGCAGATACAGCCTGTGGAGGCCTCTCTAGACAGGGCTGCTTTCCTCCCTGGGCACCTCTGATCTCAGGTTGCAGGTTGCAGATGCAAAAGTGTGATGGGGTGAGTTTGGCCCAGGAGGGTAGGTGGAGGGAGAACCCACACTCCAGGTTCATCCAGCTCTGTGCTTTCCAAATTTAGCCTTCCTATTTTTAAATTGCAAATGGTGAACTCCCGACACCTCAGCTGGGATCAAAGTCAATCTTTCTGAATGTTCTTTGCAAGAAGACATTTGAAGAAAGAAGGGGAAGCGGGGGACACACCTGCCCTCCTGCCCAGAAGCATGGAGCACCAGCGTCGACAGGGAAAAAGCAAACACTAGGGATGGCACCATGAAACAACCACAACGGGACTCCTGGACCTGAGTCAGAGCATGGAGGATTCAGATGCTGTCTGCCTGTCCTAGTGACACCAACAGGGTGACAGTCTATAGAACTCTTTCCTCTCCCCTCTGTCCCAGCAGGCCTGTGTACCTGAGAAAGCAGAGGGTCAGAGAAGCAAATCCCACAGCATTAGGGGGCGGGCCCAGAGTCTGATCAGGGCACTATGGGCAGGAGGGGGCTGGGCACTGAGGTAGACAAGGAAGCCCTCTAAAACCACCTGCTATAACTCCTGGAAAAGCCTGATGACCAGAGCCAATCAGTGATGACGTCAACACTGCAGTGGGGAAAGTGATCAGAAGATAACCCTGGGGTAGAGAGAAGCTTTGGGATGACAGCTGCCCAGGTGGAGAGTACTGAGAGGCTGGAGGAGGCTGGGAGAGCACTGGGAGAGGCTGGGGAGAGCACTGGGAGAGGCTGGAGAATGGGGGAGGCTGGGGGAGCACTTGGAGAGGCTGGGAGAGCACTGGGAAAGGCTGGAGAATGGAGGAGGCTGGGGAGAGGCTGGGGGAGCACTGGGAGAGGCTGGGAGAGGCTGGTGAGAGCAATGGGAAAGGCTGGAGAATGGGGGAGGCTGGGGGAGCACTGGGAGAGGCTGGTGAGAACACTGGGAAAGGCTGGAGAATGGGGGAGGCTGGGGAGAGGCTGGGGGAGCACTGGGAGAGGCTGGAGGATGGGGGAGGATGGGGAGAGGCTGGGGGAGCACTGGGAGAGTCTGGGGAGAGCGCTGGGAGAGGCTGGGGGAGGCTGGGGAGCACTGGAGAGGCTAGGGGAGCACTGAGAAAGGCTGAAGGAGGCTGGGGAGAGACTGGGGAAAGCACTGGAAGAGGCTGGGAAGAGCACTGGGGAAGGCTGGGGGAGCACTGGAAGAGGCTGGGAAGAGCACTGGGAGAGGCTGGGGAGAGCACTGGGAGAGGCTGGGGGAGCACTGGGGGAGGCTGGGGGAGCACTGGGGGAGGCTGGCCTACTATGTTCTAGTTCATTCAGGGAGACACTCATGGAAACACCCTCAGGGGCCCTGAGGTTTTCGTGGAGCACATCAGTTCTCTGGCTCATGCTGGGAGCTACTGATCACAGCTCCCCATCCACCTTGGCAAGGAGTCCTAGTCCAGCAGTGTTCGAGACAGAAGCCAGCTGATCTAAAGCTCCCAGGAGTTCATCACGTGGGAAGGAAGGAAGCAACCTCC